TGTTTGGGAGGGCCAGGAGCGCCGGGACCCGCAGCCAGCGCTGGGACATTGGGACACAGCCGGAGCGAGGGATGCCCGCGGACACGCGGGTGGCTCCTCCAGGGAGGATGCTGAGCAGAGGTGCCCGCTGCTGGGACGGCCCTGGAGCCTCCTTTTGTCCGGTGTCGGCGGCTGAGGGCGATCCCCGCCGTGTGCGGGACTGCGGGACCCGCAGCCGCGGGGAGTGGGCGAGCTCGGCTCCTTCCCCCGCACACGGCAACGAACCCGCGGGGGTGGCAGCGCCTCTTGGCTCCTCGGGGACAGAGCCGTGGGAAGGAGCGGGAGGTGCGGGGGCTGCGGGAGGTGCGGGAGGTGCGGGAGGGGCTGCCCTGCCCACCCAGCCCCACATCGATAACGGCGCTGCCGCTGCCGGGGCTCGGCTCCGGGACCGGATAAACTGTTTGGCCTTTGGACAAGATTATTTCTGTTCAGAACACGATTGTTATCACTTAATTGAAAATAATTATCCAATGCAAATTGGCTTCAAGTTGGCAGCGGGGTTGAGGAGGTGGCGCATTTCCAGGCTGTCCTGAGCAGAGCGGGGTGCGGCGGGAGGGCGAGAGGCCGGCACGGTCCGCAGGGCTGAGGGCAGGACACTACAGGGGCAGGTGTCCCCTTCCCAACACCTGTAGCCCTCCGGGAGAAGGGCGGGGACCATCCTGCCCAGTGCTCTCATAAACTGGGACCCTCTGGTTCGCCTTCCCACAGCAGCCACAGTGACAGCAGTGGGAGTGCAGGGGCTGGAACCGAGAATCCTCAGCTCAGAGGTGACAGTGCCACCAGCCTGGATCCCTCCCGGGCCTGTCTGCACCCAGGATTTCATCACTTGGAGGATGCAGGTCCTGCTGCTTTCGGCTGGAAGAGCTGCAGTCTGTCCACATTAAGGAGGTGGCTGGTGCCAGAGCGGGGCTGGGGCACAACTGGGATGTGGAAACCTCTGGAGAACGCAGCAGGATCCGCCCCCTGGAGCTCTGACTCAACCAGGCACTGAGGCCTCAGCTGGGCTTGTCCCTCTTCTGCTGGACTTGCTCTGGCCACAAGCAATCAGCCCATCCATCCCTTCAAACCTTACCTGTGTCTGTGTGTTCTTGCCACTGAATAGAGGAGAACTTGAGTCTGTGAAACTTCCCTCATCCCAAACCCCTTCTAAACCTTCCTCTTCTGGCTGTGGACACCCCTGCCTGCACGGGCACCCCACGGGCCATGGTCAGCCCGAGCACCTCCTGTCTGGCAGATCCCTGCAGCCACTCTGCCCTTGGCATTGCCTCTGCTCCCTCTTCCTTGTTTTCTGCCTGAATGGATTTGGATTAGACAAGACCTTCCCAAATGCACACAATGCCCCTGCTAGTGCACAAATACACCAGAGAATACCAGCTTTCCACAACAGTATTTCTAGGATTTGACCAGACTGGCACCAGGTTAATTAAAAAAAAAAAAAAAAAAAAGATCCAATATTTAAATGCAGTTTCATCAGTAGAAGTGCAAAATGCCTCTGTAAGAATTTCTGCCAGGACTTTTCAAACCTCGCAAAGCACAATTAGACACAGTCAAATATTGTCCTGGTTAAAGACTATTAGTTTTCTTACATTTGTCAGGAATTAATTTTTTCCGGCTGTATCAACAGTGTTTCCTTTATAAATACAACTGGCTCCTTTACATTGAAAAATTAAATTTGCTCTGATAATGAACTGAGGTGCTAATAATCATTTTGCAATGCAAAAAACGTGCAATTACTGGCTGCTGTGCCATGCGGTGCCACGGTTGTCACTGACCCTGCTCTGCCATTGTCACCACAGTCCCATCCCGAAGGTGCAGCCCAGCCTTGCTGCGAGCTCAGGTGTCAGCGCCCACCTGCTCAGGTGAACTGAACCCAAGTTTGCTCAGCATCCTTGAGCAGCTGCTCAGTGACACGAGGGGTGAAACAAGGTCTGCAGTGGGATGGGCCAGGCTGAGCTCCCAGCTCGGTGTGGGCACCTTGGCTGCTGGTGCTGGGTGCAGCCCTGCACAGGGCGGGAAGTGATGGTTCCTGCAGACTGCACAACAGCTGGACAGAGACTGATGTCTGGAGACAGACTTTAGGAAAAGGAGCACTTCAAGGAGGAGTCAGACCTGTGCTATGTCACAAAGACACATCCAATTCCCTCCCACAGGTGTGCCATGGACACAGACCCCTCAAATCACAGCACTCCTTTCTTCCTCAACCTCTTTGTGTAGTGGCTGCAACACATGATGGACCCAATACTCCCTTCTCCCCTCTTCACTCCTGGGACACCTGCCCCCATTACCCAACAAGACTCTGACCTCCTGATCCATCCATCTTGTCTCCTCTGCAGGGCTGGGTCTGAGCTGCAGCCCTTTATTTATTCACGCAATGTAGGTTTCCTCATGCTGCCTCACCAGTGCACATCAACTGCGACCTCGAGACACCGTCCTCTCCTGGGATGAGCATGTTTTTCAGTCCCAGGCATCTCTGGAGTAAAGACTGACAGTTCTTTATAGGAGGGGGGGAAGCAGGCGGGAGGAGTGACAGGCTGAAGTACGTTGTGGTTTAATGGAATAAAGCAGAGCTCGATGGGAGCAGCTCAGTCCACCAGGTGCCAGGCCTGGTGCAGGATTCTCACACAGCACTGCTCTTCCACAGCACCTGATGTGCTGATATTGATGGTGCTGGGAAATCCACCCCTCTTGGCCATTTTCCTTGTCATCTGCTCCTGAATGTAAACAATCTCCTGCTGCTTTATTCTCGTGCTGAGCTCCCTGAGAGCCATCAGCTGCCCCACAGAAGCCTTGCAGGGCGTGCTGGCTGGCACTGGTGCTGGTGACAGCTGGTGCCACACACAAGTTGCTTTGTACCAAGTGGTGCAAGCCAGAGCTGCAGGCACCAGTTTATGTCGCACCTGATTTACCCAGGTGCTTTCCGGCCACAAGCCAGCCTTGTCCATGTCCCTCTTTCCTCGCTGGTGGCATTATCCAGACCTGCCAGTGCTCCCCTGAATGCCCTGGTGGGTGCAGATTTCTGCAGAGCCTGACACTGGTCAGTCCTGGAGCTGACATCATTCCCTGCCAGGACCCAAACACACCCTGGTCCATCCCCAGGCTGGATGTGTCGCTGCAGGATCCTGTCTCTTTTCCCACAGTGCCAATGCTGCCTCCCTCCAGCTGGACCCTGGGGCCTGGGGGATGCTCCCTCACCCAGATCCCGTCTATTTCCAGGGTCACTGTTTCCCTTTTTTCCCTTCCCACGATCCTGAAAAACATGGTTCCTCCATCTGTTACTCCCTGCCCTGCAATCACAACCAGCAGACATCGATCAGGACTAAGGCTCTGTGGGGCTGGGTGCCTGCAGGATTTGGAGTGACATCCAGAGACAATTCCACCACAAACTCCTTGTCTGGTGCTGCCAGTGACAGGCAGAGCTCTGTGGTCTCACCTGTGCCAGTCCCTGTGCCTGACCCCCCTGCCATTACCTTCCCCAGGCCGGGCAGGCTCTGCCCACCAGCACACGCCAGCTTTGATCAGCTCCACAGCAGGGTCCGAGGAAAATATTCTTGTCTGAAGTCACTGAGCATCAGAGAAAGAGGCTGGGACTCACTCCTGCCGTGCTCAGGGGAGGAGTTAGGAAAACTCTGACTTGCTCCATCCTCTGGTACTGCACATGGATGATGTAAAGGCTCCTCTCGAGGTGCAGGAAATGCACTCACCTCAAGACAATTTAGCCGGCCAGATGACCAAAACAGTCCTGAAAACAATCCTCCTCTCTGTCTGCCAGGTTTCTGCTGCTTTGGCTAAAGGCCAGTGGTGACTTTTGCTCAAATGAAGCACAGAATTCAAAATCAAAAAAGGATGTACAACACAGTATCTGGAGAAAGAGCTGTTTCCATATTGAAAACAAGTCTTTTCAGGGGTGGAATTAACTTAGTATTTTTTCAATAGGGCTGAAACTGATCTGCGTTCCAGTATCATCAGGAATTTTTCAATCAAGCAATAAATGAAGTTAAGCCAAACTTAATTTTTGTTGCCAAGGCCATGCTGAAGGAAAACGAAGCCATTAGGTTTGCAAATATTATGCAGGTGTATCTCTATCATGAGAACCTCTGACACAGGATGGCAGGGTCACCAGAACACAAAAACCTGATGAATTGAGGGATTACTCGTATGGGATAATACTGACATAATGAGTCCTCACCTTTTTCTTGGGTGCCCATATCCCTTTCCAGATACCCTTCCAGGGTATAAATAGTCTCTAATTTTACCACAGGACCACTGCACGAGCTCAGTGACACTGTGCTGTCACCATCAGCTGCTCACTAAGGAGTGGTACAGCAGAGAGCACATCACAGAGCATCAGGGCATGGATAGTTTCCTTTTCACAACAGTAGAGTATAAATACATTACTTTTGTCCTTTACTCTTGCCAGTGGTGATGTCATTTCAGCTCAGTAAAGAGAACATGGTGCTGTTTTCAATTATGTTTGGAATGTAAGGAAATGAGGTACAAAGCCATTTTTCCATATTTCTCATGTAAAGTTTTATTTGTGTTAGTCCTCTGATAAAGCATTTTATTCTTACAAACCTTAAAACAACATGCTCAATTCCAGTGTACAAAAATAACTGTATTAAAAAAAAAATTACATTTTAGCACAGTGTGACTGGAACCAAGTATGTTCTTCATATTCCCCATTTTACTCCAGAAACAGCCTCCACATCAAAAGGAACAAGGACAGATTTAGTGTGAGATGTAAACTGCTCACTCCTGCTCTGCTGGTAAGGACAGGGATGGAGCCCTGGAGCTGAGCCCTGGGGGCAGTGGATGGATGGCACCGCCCTGGAGGGTGAGGTGGGTGCCTGCTGCATCCCAGAGCACAAAGCAGAGACCTGGCTGCCCCTTCCAGGGGGGAGGGCAGTGCCCAAAGCCCTCCTGCACTCTGGAGAGGAGCCAGGGCCGAGGGGCTGTGCTTTATACCCGTGTTCCTGCTTTCCACCCTGAGCCCCCTGACCCAAGCCTCCCTGGCATTGGCCCCAAAGCTGCTGTGCTCCAACAGCACAGCCACATCTCACTGGTGAAGAAACAAACCCTGCCAAACCCAGCGTGCCCCCACATCCCCAAGCAAAGAAAATAAACAGACAGCATATTGAGGAGCACTGGGTCCTGCTTGCCACGGGGACACTCACACAGAGGGAGTGGTCCCCTCTGGCTGTGCACATGGACAGGGCGGGTGATGCTGCCCAGCATGCTGGGACAGGGACGGACTGGAATTCATGTGCTAAGAGAGGGACAGGAACAAAGAGAAGGCAGAGCCAGAGCCAGGGAATGCCAGTGCTACCTTGCCATCACCAGGATTTCTGTTTGGACTTCTTCTTCCGTTGTTTTATAAGCAACAGATTGTCCCTGCTGTCAGGACTAGCATTTTTCTGCTTCTTCCATTTCTTCTTCATTTTGGCACCTTCTAGATGCTGCTGCACACACATGGCCTTGCTGCCTGAGAATGCCTGGAAAAGGGATTTGTGGACCTTGCTGCCCTTCAACCCCTGCTGCTTGCACCCCCGAGGGAAGTCCTCTGGTTCACAGTGGATTTCAACACTTCTCTTGCGTTTCTTCTCCTGGGCTTTCTTTGTCTGGGACATCTTCATCTTCTTCTGCTGTGCACTGGTCTTGCTTTGCTTCCCCTGCTGTTCTTTCCAAAGTTTGCTCTTTTTCTTGTGGCTGGGCACCTCAGGCTGTTCTTCCTGCAAGGCTGTTTCAGACTGTTCAGGCAGAAGGCCAGCTTCCTGCAGGTCTGGAAAGCAGACTGGATTATTTCAATACCTAAAGAACCTAAAACATGGTGCCTGAGCCATCACAGCTCTCCTTAGTTATGTATGAAGTTAGACAAAAATTTATCTCGGGCAGATTTTTTCACTGTGGGTTTTTCCTGTCACCAGGCGAGAATCTTAACAAATCGTGATTTAATCCCCTTACTGCTATTTCATGGCATTTTTAATGTCAGCAGATTTTTCAGAATTAAAACATCTGACAATGCTCACTGAGTGACTTTGACACAGTCAATTTCCATGATAGACACGGATGAGTAAAATCACAAATCTTTTACTACCACCAGGCTACCTGTTCAAATCCATGCAGCTTTTCCCAACACATGAAAATAATCCCACAATGTTTCTAAAAAGCACAAGCACAGGACTGAAAGGTGGGAGGGAATCTCCCAAAACACTGTACCTGCCACCTTTCTTTTGAGCCTGCTGGCTCTCCTCCTGATGTCACACTCATCGTCGTAGTAGTAGACGAAGGGAGAGGTGGGGAACATGTTCCCCTGCATCCGCCTCTCTGAGCATTCCTGCAAAACACATTCCAGGTCACTAGAGGTGGCCGAGTGGTGATTTCCTGGAGGTGCAATGGGCCAGGTCCTGCAGGTGCTGGCCTGTACCTGTGGCCAGCACTGTGATTCTCATGGCCAGCTGGCAATCCCGCCTGCACACACTGAAACGCTGGTGCTGTTTGAGCACACAGAGGGAATCCCTGTCTTCCTGCAGTTACCACACACCTGTAACACCCACAGAACAGGTGGGGACGGGTAGACACCAGGAGAGCTGCTGACAGAGCTGCTGGACACAGGGACAGGGCTGTCCTGCTGCCAGGCAGGACCCCAACACTGGCCCCCCAAGACAAGCATGGCCAGCCAGCCCTGGCACCTGGGCTGCTCCGGGTGAGGCTCCCTGCAGAGGTGTGGCAGGGCAAGGGGCTGGGTGGGCTGGGCAAAGGGGAGCAGAGCCAACAGCCAGGGTGGCTGGGTGGGTGTGCCATTCCCTCACAGGGAAATCCTGCAGCAGGCTGCTGTGCACACGGGGACAGAGAGAGGAAAAGAAGAGGAGGAGAGCCATGAACAGACAGCTGAGGTGACAAAGGGGCTGGCTCTGGCATCATGTGTTACCAGCCTTTTTCCCAAACGCTTGGAACAGGAATGTAAATTTTCTCACTGCTGTAAAAACAGTTTCATTCATGTCTTGAGAGCTAGGCTAACAGGAACACTTCCTATGATTCTGCCTTTTTTTTGGGTACCATGTGAAATTGACAGGTGCTTTATTCTCCTTTATCCTCCTCGCAAAGTGCTTGTTACCTTCTGTGCTTTGCCTCACCATCTTTCCCTTCTTAGATACTGCTGAGATCATAGAAACACAACATCCCACAATGGCTTGGCTTGGTAGAGACTTCACAGATCATCCCATTCCCTCCCTGCCATGGCAGGGACACCATCCCAGGGTGTCCCAGTCGCAGTGTCCAGCCTGTCCCTGGGCACTGCCAGGGATCCAGGGGCAGCCTCAGCTGCTCTGGGCACCCTGTGCCAGCCCTGCCCACCCTCACCACCAATTTCTTCCTGACACTAATCTAGCTCTCCATCACTTTGAAGCCATTCTGGTGACACCTGGGCCTCACCAATCTCCAGGAGCTGTCAGGAGCTTTTGCTGCCCTGATGTCTGCACCACGGGACCAGCAGCTTTCCTGCATGTGCTGCTGCCACCACTCAGTGCCACCCCAGCAACCCTGTCCCTGCCTGCTCCTCTTTCCCTTCTACAGGCACAGCACTACAGAGATGCACCTCTGATGTATTTCGCATTTCTCAGCTTCTTTTTGACATTTGCTACGCTGACATTTAGTGCAGATTCAGTTTTCCTGCAATCGCCTGGTTTTGGGAATGGTGTGCACATGGGGAGATCTGGTATCTCTGTCCTCCTGTGTTGCTATTGGCTTATCCCCTCTCATTCAGACATTGCTCAGGCTGTTTCTGCCCCTTGTACACTACCACAAATACTTTCTCATCTTCCTTCACTTCGAGACACATAACATGTCCACGAGTTGCTTTCCTCCCTTTCTGATTTTGTACAGTTTCTACCATTTTCAATCTAAGTACTTACTATCAGCTCCTCACACATAATTTCTATTTATTTCTACAGCAGCCTTAGTAATGACTTAAATAATCAATTTACAGCATCCCTAATAATTACTCATTATCTTTACAGCAGCCTTACTTGTGTCCCTGTATGCCTGTCTCCCTCCAGTGCCATTTTTTTGACAATTTAATAAAAGTAAACTAAACTAGAGGGCCCAGCTTTTAACAAAACATACTGGATAGTTGAAGGCTGACACACAAGAGCAGGCAGAAGGGAAGAAAGGAATTTGCTGGCAATTTGCTGTTTCTAAGCTACAGGAAAAAATAAGCTAAACACATCCAATGCATGATTAACATTTCCAGAATATTTGTGGCTTGGCTCCGGCACTTATTCCATAAAAGAAAAAGCCCTATTATTTGTGTAGTGTTGGTAATTGCAGGTACAGAGCTGAACATAATATGATAGGCAGAAAATGGTGATAAATATTACTAAAACACTCTGGAAGATGCAGCCACATCTCCTTTTTTTACTGAAGCCACTTGAACCTCATGATGTCCCCTTTACTAGGCTGCACTTAACAGAAGGACAATGCCAAACTTGGTTCAGATGTTCAACTAAACTAGGAAACTACAAATAAAGATCATCACAAGCAGGCAGAAATGGAAGATTCTCAAAACAGCACTCAAACAGCTGGGCTGACTGAGGTAAAAATCTGACGTGATGCTGAACGTGGCAGAAAGGCATTAATTAAAAAAAAAAAAAAAAAAAAAGGGGGGGGGAAAGAAAGCTGTATTCAGCAACTGTTTTCCAATGAATATTCTCTTTCCCAGGCAGTCTCAAATCAATGAACCTGCCAAGGACAGAGAGCAACTTTTACTTGCCTCCCTACCTGTACATCAGACGGGTGAGGTCCCTTTACGGCGGCAGTGCTGTGGCCACACTCCCCTCGTGTGACACACACCAGCCTGGCCCTTCCACCCACCCACACACCGCGGCACGGATGGATTTCCCCCGGGGAGGGCAGGGAGTGCCAACACTTACGAATCCCAGGTGTCCCTTGCGGGAGCAGTTGTAGCAGTACACGGACACGGAGCGCTCCGAGTGGGAGCTGGCTGCCTGGATGGGCCCTGGCTTTGT